CTGTCCGCATCGCTAACCGTTTTGAGCAAGTCAATTGAATGACGCAATGGCTTAACTTACGCACCCAAGTCAATCGCTCTTTTGGTGCACAGCAAAGGAGATCTATGGGGCAATCATCACCTCTTCTGCATTTGGAAAACAACGCTAACTCTCCTCTCTCACGCTAAATAACGCCCTGACACATGTCGTCTCGTAATTAATTGACTCCATTCTGGCTTTAACTCCAGTCGGCACAAATTGAGCTGTCGAGCTACGTGCCTTTAATATATTTGAAGGATGAAATTCAGTGGCGTTTCCCTTTAAGGCAGTGGCTCTTGTGACCCTGCGGAGGAGGTCAGATGGAAAGCTGTTCTGTCCGACAATCGCCCCCAAGAGAGATGTGATGAACTGGGGCCTGCACAAAAGCCAGGCCTCGGCTTTAATTGGACGGAAGGTGGCCCGACATTTGCACCATAAATAACTGGGTCTTGCATGGAGAAAGTGCACGTGAGAAGGCGTGCAAGCGTGAAGAGAGCAACCAGCAGTGAGGGGGTTTTTGGTGGGCTCGGGTGTTTGCCAGAGGTGTAAATATCCCGTGGCGAACTGATTTGTCTATGGTCGTAAACACGGCATAAAGCGCTAATATACAAGTCAACACTGGAGTGATTTGCAATGGGCAAACTTCATCTGGGCTTTTCAATTTCACAGACTGACGCATGCATCTTTGAGCAGGAACGTCAGTAATTAAATGGGAGGCTAAGGATTAGAGAGGAGATTCAAAAAACACACAAAAAGTACATATATAGAGTATATATATAAAATAACTGCCAACTACTAATGTGTAATACATGTCAAGTTATAGATTAAAATCTCAATTGTTACATTTTTCTTTTGTATACCATTTAGGCCTTTGTTGAACAAGGCCTAAATAATACCGTATGAATGTAATAAGTATAGTGACCCAGGTACTGCAGGATGGGTTACCACCTCCAGAAAGACACATACTGTTGCTTTAATGTCGAGTTGAAACGACTATTCATCATTCCTTTTTTGGGTGAGGAAACTTGACCTATTTCAGCTTCCTCATATTGGAATTGGAATGAATTGGACTACAAACCAGATTTTCAAAGATTAAAACGAGATTTGTCTCGGTTTCACTTGGGATCACCACGACCTGTCTCTCTATGGGGCAGAAATTACATGTTCACTGTTCTACATTGCATTTGATGGACAATTAAAGGCTCATTTTTCAAAGTTTGTCTGTTAACATACAGACAAAGTTCCAGTACAGTGATCTTCAATAAAAATGAATGGATGACATCAAACAAATTGACCATAGTTTGGACAAAAATCCAGGCCACCCAGTCTTTGCAAGCAAGAGTTTGAGTTCTCAACTGACCTTTGTATGAAGTACAGTATCTCTTTGAATAGTTTAGTAATTTAAATGACATACTGTGGAAGATTATAGATTAAAGGGACAAGCTCAAGCACATGTAGCTTGAGCAGTTTAGCAGTGTATGTAGTGATGTAATGTATCATTGTCTCTCACTTTGCATCAGTCTTTCATCTGAAAGGCTAGTGAAATGACTTCATGTTTGTGGTCGTAATGAGACAAAATGTGAAAAGTTCAGAATCAAAACATGACAATCGATTTGCTTGGTTATTTGGGCGTCGACCTTCCGAAATGAGTTAAAGCTGATTCCTTCACATCTTTCACATCTAAGATATGATCTATGAAAAACATAACACAAAAAATAGAATTATTCCACACCTCCCGCAACTACTGCTAATATGATTCTACCACCACCATGGCTGAGATTAAAACATAATGGTTGCGTTATCCTTCCCTTCAACGTAAGTTTTTGCAGTTTATGATGTTTATGCAATAACTTCTTTAAATCAAGCAACATGTAAGTATTGTTATCACAGTTACACTACGAATATACCTGTTTTCTTACTTCTGAATGATTGATCAACTATTACTACAATTACAGCTATACGTTTCGTGAACAACTTTTGCAAGCTCTTTGCTGAAATGCATTGTTCTCACGAGACAACTATAACATATGATGAGAATAGACGTCTGTGTATTGAAACCACATGTTTCCTCAGCTACAGCCAACTCTTGTAGAATCCAATACTCCAAATCCTTTAAACTAACTGATTACTTGCGATGTAAGTGTGTCATCCATCTTCCTCATGTTTTCCCTTGGACTGAAACCAAAACATTTATGAATATCCATCAAGGGTTTATTTTTTTCTAATTGCCATATTCTCCTTGCAAGTTCATGGGTGTGGAGGAGAAGATGTCCGAGATTAGCTCAAAGGAGGGGCCCCCGTCCGGTTAGCCATCTGTCACCTGAGCACCTGGATGGTCTGCGGCTCCGAAGCAAAATCATCAAGGCGTTAACGTAACAAATGGATGGTAATGTTTGACTTTCGATCACGCCGCCGAGAGCACGTTCGCACCTCATTTCGGTGATGGATCGACCAGCGTGTAAGTGAAATGATAAAAATTGGCCGGTGACGCGCAGCTGAAGAGGCGAGGACCTCATAGTGGGCGTTGCATATGGTGTGTAGCATCCTGTAGACACCATGCTAAGTTGCCAGATGTCTTTAAGTGAACTGTACCTAGTCTGTTCTTTATTCAGACGGACTTGCTGGTATCCACGATAGAAGAACAACCTTTTTATAACGTTATTCCATTCCTACGTTTTTTTAAATGTTGTAACAATGTTGATACTTTCTGTTTTGCTCATCTGCCACAGACAACCATAATGGTAGTATGAACTAAAACTCCAGATGATAGCATGAACAATGTGTCCAGAACATTTGACATTGTGAGATGAGTGAAGGAATATTTTATCTTATCTTATTTAGTATGTAAGTAGGAAATGTAATATTTAAGGTATACTTGATTGTCCCTGTAGAGGAATTTGTCCTCTGCATTTTACCCAACTTGCAAAGGCATTACGGCCTCTGTTGGGAGCAGCGCCCGGGAACGACTTGGGTTTTTTGGGTGAAACTGGAAGAAACTCATCCAGATGTGTGAAAATTCCACACGGAAAACGTCCAAGCCGGAAAACTTGCAGCCTTCTTGCTTGCAGGCAGGAGGACTAACCACTCAGCCACTGTGTTGCCAATTCAATATTGGGGAAGGGAAGGTAGTGAATGTAAAATACTTTTAGTATGACATATTATGTCAAGAATCTGAGTACATAGATTGGTCAGGTTAATCACACGTACAAATTCAGCAATATTTAGGACATCAGCAAGATCATAATTACAGTGTGTAACAGTGGGAAATTTACATTCAGTTCAGAAAACACAATTTACTCATTGGGGGACTAATAAAATAGTGCTTAGTAACAGATGGCCTTGCAAAAATGTATCAAGTTAGGGCCTTCTTAAATCCTATTTTTTCAACCTATTCTGGTTATCTTTGCTCTACACATACATCACACAATATACTGAAGCAAAGTCTGAAAATGTCTTTTACTATTGAGATGTGATAAGACTTGTAACATAGCAAATCGAAGAATTATGTGGAATACTGCCAAATGCGGCAATGCCTACCCGGTTAACAAACAAAACACTTTTTGTTTATGTAGCTGTGTGATCTTATATATCTTCTTCTTCCTTGAGAACCATAAATTATAACGCCTTGACACCCAAACTTGTCTCCACTGTCGTTTCCTTGCCTTGGAGGTAATTAACGACCTGTGTGGACGTTGATGAATTGCATGAAGGTTTGACCCAGACAAACATGGTGAGAAATAGAGATATCAAACGAGACATTTTCAGCCGTTCTTGCACTTGGTATTGAAAAAGTTAATAAAATCAAATTTGGCTCTCATTTCTTGCAGTGTGAATGAGTTGGTTTCTCAAAGACGCACACGTTTTCTCTAACACAAGGTCAGTGGATCTGATAAATCTTGTGGTCGTCAACAAACCTCTTATACATATACGCGCTCAAGACCCAAATAAAGCCAGCACTCCCATCTCCAAATAAACAGTAAAATAATATGGGCCCTTAAAACATGACATTGCCATGGTTTGGGACAAGGAGACATGGGAAACAGGGCAGATGGAATATGGACTTTTAGCTGGACAGTAGTGGTAGTGGTAACAGTAGTATCACAGGGCCAACATAAGGCTTTCTCCCCAGCTTGAATACTAACTAAATCGTGCTCTTTGAGAACATATTCTCAACATTTCAGTCTTTGGTTCTAGATCAATATTATGTAAAACAGACACTTACAGCACTCTTGAACTACCATCTTGTATGTTTACCATCAAAAGTGATGCCCTCAGCACAGAGCAGGATGGGAGAGAGGGGTAGGGTCAGAGAGTGTTGTGTGTGTGTGTGTGTTTGGGTGTTTTGTGTGTCTATACCCAATGGTTGGGTATGGTATACGGCATGTGCTGCACAGTATCAAATGTGTATTGATATTGTATGTTGATTGTATTCTGTGTATTATTGTGTTGAATGGTGGGGGGGGCTGGGAACAAATAAGCATCTGCTTCATCCAACCCATATTCAAACCTGTATTAGTGTAATATACTGTATGTGACATTGTGTTCTGCAGGTTTGAAATAAATACATATATCTATCTATCTATAAAACATGTAACTAAGCTCATCCATTAGGTATGTTGCTTTGATTAGAAGAACACTCATTTATGTTTTTTTGTATGCAATACTGGAACAAACATCAGCCACAATTAAACACATATCTCAATGTCCTTGATAGACAGTGTATCTACAGTATCTAGGGTAGAGAAGACATAGACTGTTGAATATATTTTATATACTGTGTATATATATATATATATATGTATCAAAAATAAATTCAACAGTCTATGTCTTCTCTACTCTAGACACATCACAACACTGATTTGTACGGTGAAGCCTAATCCAACAAAAGAGGCCTTGATTCTGAATGTTTTCAGGGCATTTTTCACCTCTGTCTGTACTGTCCTTTTGCGTTTTTACACTTTTGAAGATGAGGGCCACAGGAAATGAGTTCAAGGAATGCGTTGGGTGGGGTGCGCAAAGGTGGGGGGGGCATAGGGGCTGGCGGTATGGGGAGATATATGAAGTCTTGTCACTTCCCAAAGGTTGAGCAGCGGACTCTATTGGTGCAGACAGTGACCTCCAGCACATGGGCCAAAGCAGTTCCAGATGTCTGCCAACACCATTACTGCGGCCGGGGAGCGAGGGAGCAAGGAAGGGGGGGGGGGAGGGTCCCGCAAGGAAAATCAACACTATCTCCAAAGATTTAAGGTGTCTTTCTTTTTACAGGGATGGGTGAAAGTGTTTTGGAGGAAAGAATGTTTTAAAAACCATTGTTAAAAAAGGTAGTGCATGTGTATTGGGTGCAGCTCTGACCCCAAAAGGTCTTTTTAGATAAGAGCAACATCATGCTTTCCTGGGGGTATTTCAAAATAAACTACATCCTTAATAATTTACATGTTTCTCTAAACGTTATATTGATTCAAATATTCTTCAATGAATTAAGGGCACATAACATATTTGAGGATGATTCATACAAGCCCCAATAACATCATCTTCAAATTTAGTTTTTGCACAATGCTGCCTACAAACAAACACACAGACAAGGAGATAATTACAACACTGGTTTAACAAAATCCTCTCACCGTACATTGACATATTATTTTTTGTATATATGAACACGTCAAATTAGACCGAAGACCATCAAGAAGTCTGCAGTGGCCATCCGATTTAACTGAATTCAATCTATGTTTGTATAGCCCTAAATCGTAACAACCTAAATTTTGACAAGGTCAACAGGTTTAACAGGTATCTATTGTGAGGCATTCAAGTCTTCTCTATACTGTTCTCCAATTACCTCCAAAAAGTACAGCACGGCCTTTATTCAACAATAAAAATGCTAAATTGAAAAGCAGAAAGTAACATTTCATCAGCAGTGCAGATTTGAATATTCCGTCTGTAATCGAGACAGGGCTCTTACTACTTATTTAAACATAGTGTACAACCTTTCACATAGCACTACATGTCAAACTAATGCTTATGTGTCAACAGTAGCAGCAAAAACCCTTAAAATGTAGCGTTTTAACACAATGCACTATTCCACTCTAAATGTGGCTCTGAACTGACAAAGGAAAACACAAAGGGGCGGCGCGCGTTCCTGGGGAGTACGCTCGCACAGACGTTGCAGAAGACATTAGTACGGTTTTAGATGTCTCCACTCACCCAGGAGGGAATCTTTGTCATCCTCCTCTCCGCTCGCTGCTCCATGTCGTGACAACCTCGTATCAATCACCCCATTTTACTTTTCTTAGGCTCATTTTGCATTTTCGGGTTCATCATTACGCTTGACAAATTCGGGAAGGCTTCATAAGGCGGCGGTTACATTAAAACTTCTTTCGTCTGGGGAGTCTAGCTGGCGGTGGCCTGAATTATATCTGTAATAGTGGAGAGAAAATAAAATGTGGAAAGTTGAAGAAACAGTGGTGCGTTTGTGGGAAGAGGAAGGTGCTGTTAAAAAGCACATTTCTGATGCAGTGATTCATGTTTTTGCCAAAGCTGTCTTGTAGACAAACAGGAACAATCATAAAGAATAAATGCTAATTTCTTCATTTTGGCTCTAAATCCAGATCTTTGCCATTTTAGAATGTGAATGTCTTTAGAATTAACATGGATAAAGAAACAAAGCCGGACTGAGCAACTTAAAGGGAAAGATATTTTAACATCCTCTTGTTTATCTCCACAGGTGTGGATTTGTTTGTGTTTATTCCCTTAATCTGATTGGTCTGGGTGTGTGAGGTGCAGCCTCTGAAGTGGAGTACAATGCAGGTGTGCTAGAACCCAAATACTAACTGCATGTGGATTGAGCGCAAACAGTTTTTTGACTTTGTGACAAAGCAACTCTTTTACTCTGAACAACACTTAAGTTATTTGGAAGAGGGTTCAAAGGCCACATCAGGTTGTTTGGCACACCTGGTTTAGCCCTCGAGCTGCAAGATGAATGTGGCTTGTTTAAGAATAGAAGCATTTCATCAGAAGGAGCACGGAGATGTATTCGTGCCAGCGGTCCTGATATTCATGGGGACTGTGAATTCCTTTTTAAGGAGTGAATGTTGTTGCGATATAGTCATAAAGTACACAAGATTTGCAGAATTATGCTCTGTCATATTTAAAAAGGTGTTGTCATGGCTTTGCTTAACAACACATACAAATTGTGTTGTGCCAAATACCAAAACATCAGAGGTTGTGCGTTCACTGCGAGTAGATAATCACAACTGGTAAAACCGTTTGATCAGCCAGCATATCTTTATGCACCATGGCAACTTACTAATTACATCTCTCTCTATATTTGCTTATTATCAGCAATGCTACATTGACATGAAAAGCAGTTTTAAGAACAAAATAATGGTTTGCATCACAGCTTGTTCTAGCTTAAAATGAACTTTCTGTATGCATCCAAAACACATCTGATGAGACGGTGCTCCTCGGAGAACAATGTGTTCCCTCAGAACTCACTACGTATTAGACTCTTAGCTGTGACATTTTCTAACTCTAGGGACATGGAAGGTTGCAATATCTTAACATTTACCATGGTATTAAGACAAATGTTGAAATAGAGCTGTTTAATATTAGAAGGAAATTTGTTGTATCTACTCAAAGCTGTGTGACATGCACTTTCAAACAAAAATTATTCTGCAGACGTACAATCAAATATTGAATCGTGCATGGGTATCAAGCTGGAGCTATCTCAATCCTTTAGAACACAATGATCAATATTGTGGTTATATTCACATATCACATTAATGGCAGGTCCAACACAAGCACTATTTTAAATGGTATTTCAGAATCAGAGTCAACAAGTCTTGATTATGTTTTCGTTCTTCTCTGTGCACCAACAGGACACGCCTAAAAGGGGTTCGCAAAGTCATGCAAGATACGTAATAGCAAACCTTCTTTTTAAAGCACACATAGGTCCTTTTTGAGCCTTTAACACCGTTTGACATAGTTTCTTTTGGCACACCCACCTTACCCCACCCCTTGAGGCACTCACTTTCCTGTGTGCGTGTGTGGAAAGATGGCGCCGGAGTGTCTGGTTCGCCGCTTTGCTCCGCCAATGTTTATGTGTTTTACGTTGTTTTTATCATGTTTCACACGGACCACAAACTCTCTCTTGGTGTACGAACGCCATGAGTTAATGAACATCAAAGCATTTGTGGACAGATGTGCGGAATATCATAGAGATGAGCCACACAAGTCGCGCCCCACTTACTTGTCTGACGTTCCGGATTACTTGCTTCGAGTGAAAGCCTTGCTACCCAAGAAACGCAGGCGTCGGGGAGTGCGCAGTGGTAAGCTAGTCAGGTTGAAATCCTGGCTAGCCTTATCTCCGGAGTTGATCTGGTGCCCAGCGAGTGTTCCCCGGGACTACGATGAGTGTCTTCGTCGCCTCATCGCTCGACGTCAGCTGGCTCCTATCGCTCCAGCTTGGCTGCAGCCAGTGATCGGTGAGCGGGGAGTGTCTGCGGCTCTTCGCCCTCGCCGATGTCGCCTTCAGGAGCTCCACAATCTTCGCACGCTGAATCACGTCTCTTCTGCTGCTAAAGTGCCCCAAACTTCTCTGAAATGTGCACTTCTGAACGCAGATCTGCAAGAAATAAGACTTTTATTCTACGGGACCTCATCTTTTCGCACTCGTTGGATTTATTCTTTCTGACGGAGACCTGGATAAGTGCGGGTGAGTTGGCTGCCTTTACTGAACTTGTACCTCCGGACTGTGTTTTCATAAATACGCCGAGGCACAGTGGTCGAGGAGGTGGTGTTGCGTCGATATTGAAAAACAACTTGTGCTACAAGCCTCTGCCAGCTATGTCCTTTACTTCATTTGAAGTTAGTTGCTTTGAATTGGGACAGAATGAACCCGTTTTCTGCACGCTGGTTTACAGACCGCCAAAGTACAATAAGAACTTCATCAATGACTTTTCTGAGTTTATGTCTCCAGTGTTGATGGACTATGACAAGTTTTTAATTGTTGGAGACTTCAATCTACACGTCTGTTGTTCAGCTACTCCTTTGGTGAAGGACTTTTTAGATTTGGTTGAAGGTTTTAATTTAGTGCAACACGTTACTAGACCCACACAGATACGTGGCCATACTTTGGACTTGGTTTTGTCTTGCAATCTGTCTGTTTACAATTTACAAGTTGGAGATGCTATTATTTCTGATCATTGTCCTGTTTTATTTGAATTCACAATGAATGATTGCGTTAAGCCGCCCTGTCCTGTGCGCTATTGTCGCACTCTTCGGCCAGACTCGGCAGCATCTTTTTCCTCTCTTTTTTTAGCTAGCGCCCAACCTGAAATAAGTGCGGTGTCTGTGTGCCAGGACACTGAGAAAATGACTAATTCATTTATTGCTGTATGCACAGAAATTCTTGACTCTGTAGCTCCACACAAAGCTCAGCGCCCCAGAGCCAAGCCTGTACCATGGCTCAACGACAGTACGCGTGAGGCCAGACGTATATGTCGGCAGGCAGAGAGGAAGTGGAAAAAGGATCGGCTACAGGTGTCATATGAAATCTTAGTTGGCAGCTGGAAAACTTATCAAAAAATGGTCAGACTGCAGAAAATCAAATATTTCTCTGATGTTGTCCAAAGAAATGCAAATAATCCACGTGTTTTATTTCAAACCATTGGGCCTGTTTTAAACCCGCCCCAATCTACTTTTGTCCAATCTAGCACTCAAAGTTGTGAAGATTTTTTGTCTTTTTTCACAAACAAGGTTGCGCTTATTCGTTCAAGCATATTGCCCCCTTCTATTGACTTCTGCATAAATCAGCCCTGCTCAGCGGTTTTTACACGGTTTGAGCCAATGTCTTTGCAGTCTCTAACAAAAATTGTCAGTCAAATAAAACCCTCATCTTGTCCTACAGACCCGGTCCCTCCGAGGTTGTTCAAAGATGTGTGGGAAACAATTGGTGCTTGTGTTTGTGAAATTGTGAACAGTAGCCTTGTTTCAGGAGTTGTCCCTTCCTTTTGTAAACAGGCTGTAATTGAACCACTTCTCAAGAAATCGAGCCTTGATACCTCCATTGTCTCTAATTATCGGCCGATTTCCAAACTTCCTTTTTTATCTAAACTGTTGGAAAAAAGTGTGCTCTGTCAATTACAGCCCTTTCTTGATGCACATGGTGTGTCAGACATGTTCCAGTCAGGTTTTAAAAGTTTGCATAGCACTGAATCTGCACTTTTAAAGGTTTTTAATTACCTGTTTTTAGTGACTGACTCAGGTAGTTCGGCCATTTTAGTGCTTTTAGACCTGACTGCTGCTTTTGACACGATTGACCACACAATTATTTTAGACCGACTCCGAGACAGTGTGGGTGTCAGGGGGACTGCTTTAGACTGGTTCAGGTCATACCTCAGTGGGAGGTCTTTCTCCGTTAGGCTTGGGGACTCCACCTCATCCTCTGCCTTCCTGCGCTGTGGAGTTCCCCAGGGTTCAATTCTTGGCCCAATTCTGTTTGCCCTTTATCTCCTCCCACTGAGTCAAATCTTTAAGAGGCACAGCATCTCATACCATTTTTATGCAGATGACTGTCAAATTTACTTGCCTCTTTCCAAGACAGCTAAAGGCCCCCTGACACCCTTGCTTGCCTGCCTGAGTGACGTCAAGGCTTGGTTGGCCCAAAATTTCCTAAGTCTTAATGAGGGGAAAACTGAAATTGTTATTTTTGGGCCCACTGACCCCTTAATGGACTTGGGCCCCTTTAAAGACAACGTTCTCCCCTCTGCCACCAACCTTGGCGTCACCATGGACAGTGATTTTAATTTTACTAAACAGATTAATACAGTCGTCAAGTCAGGCTTTTACCATCTTCGCCTTTTATCTAAAGTCAAACCGTTTTTATCTTTTAAACATTTTGAACAAGTCGTGCATGCTTTTATTTCGTCACGCCTGGACTACTGTAATGCTCTTTATACAGGCATTACCCAAAATGCACTCTCACGCTTACAGTTAGTCCAGAACTCCGCTGCACGACTTATTACTGGAGCTAAAAAGCGTGACCATATTTCACCAATCCTCGCATCCTTGCACTGGCTTCCAGTCAAATTTAGAATTGATTTTAAGGTTTTGTTGTTTGTTTTTAAAGCGTTAAACGGACTGGCCCCTCAATACGTCACAGACCTCATTGAAGTCTACGCCCCAACGCGCGCTCTGAGGTCTGAGGGCCAGCTCCAGCTCGTGGTTCCTAAGACGAGACGTAAAACTCGAGGGGACAGAGCGTTTTATTGATTTTATAAATTGACTATTTATTTATTTATTTTTTATTCTATTTTTTGTGTACTTTTTTGTGCAGCACTTTGGAACTGTTCTGTTGTTTAAATGTGCTATAGAAATAAAGTGGATTGGATTGGATTGGATTGTCTGCCATAAAAAAAAAAAAAAAAAGTCAAATTACGCTCTCGACAACTGAATGCCACATTCTCAAACATGAGATGTTGACGTACATTTTCATGTTTATGGGCTAAAATCAAGAAAAACAATGCATTATATTGACTTAAGTTCATTTAATTGACCTTTATTTACCCATTTCAGAATATCTTACAGGAGTTACAGGGGCTATTACACATGATTTTGGTATGTGTCATTTAATACCAGGTTTGCATGTTCATTTTTGATACTTGTAATACCAACTCCCCACATTGACGTGAAACCTTGCCCCAGTGCACTTGTTCAATGTACTCCGTCTGCTTCTTGTGTACCATAAAAGAGAGAACTTTCTTTCGTCACACAATGGGGAAATTTCAATACGCCTCCTCATCCCCAGGAGCTTGAAAACCTTGTCGTCAGATGCGTACATGTTTAAACGCAGACTGTGATGAAGGATCTCCGTGGGGATATGAGCAGAAGTTTTTTGACCCTGGCTGAACCGCGGTTAACTCTGGGTTTGATGCTATAAATGTACTCAGGCCGTAAAAAAATGAAAGGCACGGGAGGATGAAAGAATACAGTATGTAAAATGAGAGATGAAGCTGCTCTGATCCCCTTGGAGACTGCAAGTCCCGGCTGAGGCAACGCTTGTTTAGCATAAATAAACATACATTTTATCTGCATCAAACTGGAGCTTGGAGGTCAGCTCTAAGAACAAAAACAGAGTGAATGAAGAAGATGTAAAAAGAAATATTGTATGCTTGTCTTTCTTCAGTTATTGTTGAAATGTCCACTGGGTTTTGAAGAACATTTTTAAATCTAATCTTGATCTAATCTTGGTGCTGGTAAAAGGTGCAAAGCTGGTGTAGCTGAATAACATTGACAAAGCAAGTTACATTTACATCGAGGAAGTTGTCATTGATGCTTCTTGGTCGGAATGTCTTGAAATGCTTTGCTTTTTACCTGTAAACTACTATTTAATTGTCTGATTGTCAGATTACCACTCACCCATCCATCCATTTTCTTTCCCTTTATACAGTGCCGGGTCGCGGGGGCAGTTATCTAAGCAGAGGTGCCTGGACTTCACACACACTTCTTCCAGCTCATTGGAGGGAGTTCTTAGGTTTTCAGCTCAGACACATAGTCCCACCAATGTTTTTTGGATCTCCTCCCGGTGGGACAATCCCGGAACTCCACCAGGGTGATTCTGCCCTTCCAACTAAAATACAGCAGTGCCATTTGTGTATTCCTGAGATCTTCAAAAACTAAAAGAAAATTAACTTCAGTTAGATGTTAGTGATGACAATTGCTTAACCAGCCTGCTGCTGAAGCCAAAGTGCTGCTGCACTACTATTGTTTGTAACCTTTAGAATTATGCGTGTGTTTGTATGGATGGATATGTTTCTGCTGCTGGACACCTGCATTTCTTCTATAGGGATCAATAAAGTATCTATCCATCTAGTATATGTGACCTTCATTCATAATGTATAAAGACAATTCTAACCAGTGAGTGAGGTAATTGTCATTCAAGTGTTCACCTATTTCAACAGACCAGGGAGCGAATGCTCCCAAGTGTGTCTCTTGTCCTTCTAGCTCCACTACCTTTCACACATTCAAAACACTGTTGGTTCAAAAACTTTTGACTTCAGGAAATTAAAGATTGAGTGGAACAAGTCTGCCTCCGCCATGCAGATCCGCTCCTGTGTTGAGGTTTCATCAGGACGATTAGCTCCGCAGATAAAAGCTCCAGCCCAGAGCAGAGTACAGTTGGATACAGTGCAGGGTCAGAGCTGGCCTTCCTATCTTTAGGCAGCCGTCACTTACAGCACGCAGCCAGACATGAATTCCACAGTCCAGACCTGTGCATATCCCAGAGTCGCACAAAGAGGCTATTTTGTCCCGTGGGTGGCCTGGTCTGCGGCTGGTCTCACTGTAAGGCTCAATGACTGGCTTTCAAGAAATAATAAGGAGCACAAGTAAGTTTCAACCACACAAAACACTTCAACAGATCATTAAGTACATTCACTACATAATACAATGAAGCAACAGATGTATGTTGTATTGTGGCTGAATTGATCTTGTAAAGTTAATTAATGCCACCAAACCCTACCAACTTTAACTGTAATGTATGCATGCCTAATGTGAATGTTACTTTTCAAATTCTGAAGATTGAGACGTCTTCAAATACTTGGTAGATAACTAAGGCCCATCACCATTGGTCTAACTATTCTCCTCCAGCAAATCTGACTGTTTTGAATCTATTTTTTCTGAAAACACGTAGGTGATACTACTCGAGTCATATGGTCAAAAATACGTATTATTTTCTAAATCAAATACATTAGGAACAGCAGTATAGCTGACACTGGCACATGTACAGTCATGTGGATGAATGTGTGCTGTACCTATTCAAATAAACACATAAATCATCATCAAGTGGACAATCTATTCTCTATAACTAATTCCCTTTTTGGGACAACACAGCTCAACTTGCATTAACTTCAGCCAAATGTCATACATGTCGAGGCCGACTGATGTCTGTGTCTGTCTTGCTCAGCTTGTCTCCGTGGGTCCACGTCAGCAGATTGACCTGATTTTTGTGTGAATACCTCTGTCTCTGTATTTAGCTCACTGTGCTGAGATGCTCTCACAAAAACATACTCACAGACACTGTGGCTCTGTAGATTCAGCCATAGTGATGTTATAAAAGAAAACATTTGAGTTCAACAAGGAAACGTGCTCACATGGCATGCGTGATTGTAGAAAGCTTTAATTGTATATATGACATGGGAAAACAACAATGTCATGGTCAAAACCTGAGAAAAGTAGCATTTTACATAGAGCTTTTCTCCCTTATCAAGGCACTTCATATCAAGTAACCCTTCTTCCATTCTCAAACACATTCATACACCAGTGTCTGCAGACACATGGTGGTGAGGTAGGTCAAGTGTCTTCCAACCAGTGGGTCAGTCAACCAACTATGTTTATGTCTGGAGCAGCATTCAAACCTCTAAATGAGATACTGCCGTCTACTGAAGTACTTTTTATTCTCGAGGAGGACATTGATTTTGTTTTTTTACAGTTTCAAACCCACAGTTCCAATGTTCCCTTAATGTTATGCATGGATCAGCATTCCATTGACATTTTGGCTTGAGTGAGAAACCCACTACAGCCTTTTTAGGAACAAAGCACATTTTACTTCCATGACCAGTCCAGTCCAGGCACCCTGCTCTCCTTACCTTCAACAATCAATCTAAGCTTCACATTTTTCACTATCGACCGCAGACTTCAGTCTCCAACGCGGTCTTTCTGTCCGTGCTCCTGTCAGCCCTTTACCTCTTAACACTGACTGACACATGGACCGAAGCACCCTGCGCTGTCTGTCCGCCCGTCACGCAGAGGACATCCGTGGAACAAGGCAGTGCAGAAGGCCCAGATCCTGATCCATCCAAGCTCCTGTCACCGGAGTCTGGCCTAGATCCAGTTGCAGGACGGGAACTCTCAGAAGGAGCTCAGACAGTTGTAACGGTGGTGAGAGGACGCAGAGACGGTTGGCACATGTTTGAACGCGACACACCAACAACAAGAGCTGGCGATTAGAGGCGGATATCCCTCATTAAAATCAGATTAATTCTTGGACAAGGCAGTGCTGGAGAGAGTGGTGCTTGGAGAAGGATAGCAAAAAATGTGGAGGGTCAGTTGAGTCCGAGTGGAGTTGTGCCGAGAGCAGTTGTTGCTTGCATCAGCAAATTTGGGGAATAAAAATGTCAATTCTATACATTTGTGTTCCTTTTATTTTTGAATAAAGTATGCACCCTCATAGTTACAGTGAATAGATGTATATTTGTATCTACCAACTGCGTCATTGTACTTTTGGTAAGAAGCCAAACTGTATTTGTCGTATACTGTATGTCTCTCGTCAAGGTTAAGGTGCTTCTTGGCCACATGTTCAAGGTGACTTTAAGCTTGTATATCTTCATGAAATAATGTAAGACAAATCTGCCTTTTTCCACATAAGCTAATTAATAATAATTGCTCTCAGGCAGCCTGGGAACGCTTCAGGATTCACCCAGATGAGCTGGAAGAATTCTGGAAGTTTACTAGGAGTGATACAAAATGGAAACAGTTGGAGCAGTAACACATTTGATTCAGAAGTATTACAATGATAACATGAATAAGTTTAAATACACATTTGAATATTTAAAGAAGAAGAGAAAACCATGACAGCTATTGAAACGATTTGCGCAATGTATTTTAGTGAAGGTAACAAAAATAATGAGATACCAGATGAAAAGACTCAATAGGAGGAATCAAAAAGTTCTTTTGGCGGACCCCACTGCTGCCAAAGAGATGGTTGCCACAAGTTTAAAGCCCCCTCACCCACAGTGGATTATGATTTTATTGACATTGTTTATTTGGTCATGACATGGTTGCAGAATGTCAAATAAATCTGGGGCAGTGTTGTGGACGAACTTTGTATTGTTATTTTGTTGTTCTGGGCAGATATGTTGTTCTTGAATATATATTTTAAAAATGTATACCAGACTAGCTTCTTGGAACAAGCTCTAAGCTGATGCATGTACAATATACATGCAGGCTACATAATGACAATCTCCTAATTAAAGAACAAATGACAACATGTGCTATCTGTTATTTGTTTTTTTCAGCTTTTGCATTAGTTTCCCCAAGTACTGCAATCACATCATCAGAAATAGTACTGCGTGTGACATTGAGCGGAGTTGCCAGTCCCACCTCTCTCCTCACAATATCGACCTTGTCCACAGAGCCTGGCTTCAGTCCTGCTGTCCACACCAACTGTAATTGAGGGGTAATGCTCCTTACAAACAGACAGCTCCTCGCTTTAGAGGCCAAACCACCCATGTCCACTCTCACTTGTGTCCCTGCGTCTTCCTCGGTCTCACTGGGCAGCCAGCAAATAGAGCCTGCAAGCTCATAAAAAGGCCCCGTGCAAACACCATCGAAAAATCTTTTACCGGGCAAAGCGAACACTAGTTTTAAAGGAGTCAAAGAGATTTGACAAATTAAGACTACAACCCCAATGAAGGACTACAAATACATCCATGATTCTAGAAACATTACATGGTAGATATGTCTACATTTTAAATCAATGTAGTACTTTAGAGATAACTTTTAGGTTAGGGTACTAGACACACAATAGTTTATTAACAATGTATTGGTTTATTGCCTAAGAACATCCCTGGAAATAGTTTCTTTGCATTTTCTCTGAGGGAACTGAGCAAGAAGTAACTTCATTTGAGAGAACAATGTTTAGAAGCTATGGGGCAACTTTACACAGCTCCATTAAAATACAAACGATAGTCATACAAAACAATTGCCACGTCATTGGGTTTTTTAGCCTGTCCCTCAAAAACATAAAAACAATAGTATCAAGAATTATATTATCCTTATTAAATAGCGAATTAAGATTCCTCACTATTTGTATTATTATATTCAAATAGAGTATTCCTTTCGTATATATTGGCACTGTGAGTAGAGCATTCTTCATTTACCATAGAAGTGTTTTTTTATTTTCTGCAGATACCGCCATCTGCATAACCATATTGTCCAAATACAATGAACCTAATTCTCATGCCAAACCAATCTCAAGAGATTTGGCTATAGGCCTTGGTAAGTCTGAGGCGGGTTAGTTCTCTATGAAGAATTTTCAATAGCATGACAAACTCTCCTTCAGAAATATAGGTCAGATCTGTGGAGAGGTGATCCACGCTGAATATAATTATATTCCTATAATGTGTTGATTGAAAACTGATTGTGACACAGCAGAAAACCTGACATTCTAATGATTCACTGCAACAAGTTTATAAATATTGGTCCCCAGAGCTCAGGGCGCGACAAGAACTATCCACATTAGCAGTCCATTGATGGTCGCTTTGACACTACAGCAGACAACACAACACAACCCTGACAGGTACTTTTCCAACACATCTACATAGAAGGGATCACAAATAATATTGCTTGCCCATCTCTGGCAAATAGCAAAATAATCCTGTCTGCTTTAGAATGTAACATCCATCCATTGTGAGTTAAACTTTCATGATGATGAACATTAGTGCAAAAGGGGGTAACTTAGATCTTGCGAGTTGATCAAAGAGCCTCATGACCCACATAGAGACTAGATGCATTTAGTTCAAGCACAGAGACAGAATAAGGATGGGAGTGGAAATGGACATGAAGTCAATAATGCACAGAACTTATATTGCGCTTTTAATGACCTCACAAAAGACACTTCACTTAAAAATGAATTGATCAATCAAGGAAATGTCTATATATCAGAACCTGGACGATGCAGAAACTGTACACCTGCTGAATGCTTTTTCTATCACAAAAACAATCCATTGGAATTATCCCTTGCGTCGCGTCAGATAAGGGCACTTATTAGCATGGATCGGAGGGCCCGGCCAGGAACAAAGTAATCAAACGGTAATTCTGCAGACAAACATTGAAGCCATAAATCAACTTCTCCCACACACTGAGGCCGAGATTGCATCGCTACACCGGGGGCCGCCCAGCAAATACCAACCAATGTCCAGGCAGCCACCCCACGACCTACCAACAAGTTTACATGGCTCCCAATGACAGCCCAGCCATGTGAACTAAACTGGCAATAGAATAGATAACTGGGTGCTTTTTTGGGGTGCTTGATGCCGAACAATCACACATAGATCAATATTTTACATTTTGTGCACTATACGCTGAACAATCTAAATTGGTTTGAAAGAGAAAATAACGTATTGATTTTCTGTACAAAACTACAGAACATATAAGCCCAGTGCATTTCTTTGTAGCAATGAAATTTGGCACTTTTTTTTTTACGTCGATAAAGAGCGAAGTAACATTGTTGAACCCAATATGTTTGACCTCAAGTAAATGGAGAGAAGTAGGAAGAAATAGGAAGTCGGTGCAATTTCTGATTACTAAAGTTTTAAATGCAGTACAACACAGGATTACTCAAACATGCTACATTGAATTGTAATAATAATCTAATGACAACGAGATAACAGGGTAAAAAAGTTATATTATACGATTCCCTAAAGTAGGAAATACAACTGAGGCTGATTAATTCAACAGGACAGTACAGTGCCTTGCGAAAGTATTCGGCCCCTTTGAACCTTTCAACATTTCGCCACATTTCAGGCTTCAAACATAAAGATATACAATTTGTATTTTTTGTCATGAATCAACAACAAGTGGGACACAATCGTGAAGTAGAACAAAATGGATTGGATAATTTAAACTTTTTTAACAAATAAAAAACGTGGGCGTGCAATATTATTCGGCCCCTTTACTTTCAGTGCAGCAAACTCACTCCAGAAGTTCAGTGAGGATCTTTGAATGATCCAATGTTGTCCTAAATGACTGATGATGATAAATAGAATGCACCTGTGTGTAATCAAGTCTCCGTATAAATGCACCTGCTCTTTGATAGTCTCAGAGTTCTGTAGAGAACCATGAAGACAAAGGAAGACACCAGGCAGGTCCGAGATACTGTTGTGGAGAAGTTTAAAGCCGGATTTGGATACAAAAAGATTTCCCAAGCTTTAAATATCTCAAGGAGCACTGTGCAAGCAATTATATTGAAATGGAAGGAGTATCAGACCACTGCAAATCTACCAAGATCCGGCCGTCCCTCCAAACTTTCATCTCAAACAAGGAGAAGACTGATCAGAGATGCAGCCCATGATCACTCTGGATGAACTGCAGATAACTACAGCTGAGGTGGGAGAGTCTGTCCATAGGACAACAATCAGTCGTGCACTGCACAAATCTGGCCTTTATGGAAGAGTGGCAAGAAGAAAGCCATTTCTCAAAGATATCCATAAAAAGTCTCGTTTAAAGTTTGCCACAAGCGACCTGGGAGACACACCAAACATGTGGAAGAAGGTGCTCTGGTCAGATGAAACCAAAATCGAACTTTTTGGCCACAATGCAAAACGTTATGTTTGGCGTCAAAGCAACACAGCTCATCACCCTGAACACACCATCCCCACTAACAAACATGGTGGTGGCAGCATCATGGTTTGGGCCTGCTTTTCTTCAGCAGCAGTGATGGGAATAATACTTTTTTCAGTAACGAGTAATCTAACTAATTACTTTGACAGTAACTATAACGCCGTTATCATTTCCGACATCCCGTTACTGCGCGTTACTCAAGACGCACAATGAACGTGTTGTCATGAGAGAAGGGAGGATGAGAAAACCTCTCAGCAATTATTGGCTGATGTAAAACATATTTCCTTTACAATCCACATGTCTACAGTTGAGAGGATGGCTCATAAATTGTGTTTTTGAAACAAATATGGGTCTTAATCGCGCTCAACCACGGCTTGTATCACCGTGAGGTCAGCCACAGAGTAGCGCATGTGAGAGCAGAAGTCGGCTGCATACAATTCCATCGATAAGCTACTTGCTCTTCCTGGTTTATCTGCTAAGGACAGCAACAGGTTTGGCTAACATACATATAACACATTTTTACATAATCTAAAAGGCACATAGGGTAATTTTTCAATTACTATAGGAATGATAAGAAAGAGAGGTGAAGTGTTAGACGGTTGATTTTA